GAGATTCCGATCAAACAATGACCAACACAAAGGTGGGGGGGGGGTTCTCGCTGTTTCATATTTTGCTTCAAAGTGATTTTAGCATTCATTTGATTAAATCCTTCCCTGTTCCCTTCAGCTGTGGCCATTTTGGTTCTGTTCCAGTCTAATCCAGATCAGCAGGTTATAATTTACTTTTTTTCAATTGTATATTGATAGTTTTAGTACTCATTCATGTCTGTGGGTAAAGACTTGTAAAAATTCATAATTATTTTGAAAATCGGTTAAAGAAAGCTTTTAAACCGTTTTGTTTCAAAATTATGTCAATGGATTTTCACGGAATACATCATGGGGCAGATTTCATTACTCTGCATGACAAAGTCTGAAGCCTCCTTAAAACATGCCAAGACGAAAGTGGATGTGACTAAAAATTATCTTTGGAGGTATTTTTACAAACCTTAAAAACCTAATCTTTTCGTGTATCATACTCTTATTTTTGTAATGAAAGTAACTACAAGATGTTTAAGAAATAAATACTGCATGGTGATACCAAGGTGCAATGCTGTTTTATAAACCTGTATTTCAAGAGCGCCATCTGTTGTAATTGCATCTGCCACAAAATCAGGCCATTTTCCAATACTCAACTTCGGCGCCGTCTCAGGCTTCACCTGTTTTTCAACCAGCTGACTTTGAAGCTGTAAGCGCAGTAATTAGTCTAATAGTGCCACAAAACATCAAATAAGATGCAAATGAGCCAGAAATTACAGTAATCCAATTTAATTGAAACGCTTCAGGCCCACAATCGGGGATTGGTTTTGGGAACAAAGCCTCAGACGGAGCCTAAGTCGAGTATTGGAAAGGACCTATGTCTTTGTTTAATGAAGAGCGCCCTCTGCTTTTGTTTGCGTTTTTCCTCAGCGATTGACCGTTGTGCAAAGTAAACATTTCAGGCGTGAAGTGTTTACTGTTGGCGGTAATGTTTGACTGCTTGAAACAGATCTAATGGACTGTGGTTTATTAAGCAGATAGCGCCTCCAAACCACAAGAACAAACAAAACGAAATGGCTGATATTAAGTTACCTTCCATTGTCTACACTTTATTGCAACCTGGTCAGCCCCTGAGAAAAACCTCTTCTGTTTACCTGGTTTCTCGGGTAGTTCTTTTCTCGCAATGAGTTTGTTTTCTAATTAATGTTGTCGGCCGTGCATATTTGGTGTGCAAATATTTTAGACTCTTTAATTACAAAAAAGTCTGGAAATGTGTGGGAAACTGAGAATAAGGTGTGATTACTGAACCATTTGATAGGTAAGGCTAAACATTAAAATGCCGAACGGGCTAAGTAATATCCGTTGTTGATTGGAAACATGTCAGAAGAATCCGAGGCGAGGTGCTCACTGTCCTTCGAAAAATTCTCGATTTATTACTGGCAGTTTGTTCCTGAATAAGCTTTGAACAGTCAACAGTACCTGTTTCTCATTACACTGCTGTTCAAAGCATGCTCAAAGCGAGTAAAATTGTCCCACATTTGGGGGAAGTTAATTACTAGGAATAGTCCGCGCGACTTGCGAGAAGTCGGGGGTTACGGTTTATTGCTCGCTTTTTTATCGTTAACAAACCTATTGTTAACTCGCCGGTACATGCATGGTTGAGTTTGGGGGGGGAGGTAAATTGTTGACAAACCCACGCTCGTCATTGAAGCAATGCTATCCATTTTGCAGGGAAAGGGAAAATGTAAAGCTTCGCAATCCATCATCTATTTCTTTTTGTATGTGCCTGAAAGAAAAAGTGCTTCATCACCTTTCGAGGGAAGAGAAATTTTATTTGGAGGTTTACAGGCAAAGTAATTACTGTTATTAATGGCACAAAGGTAGGCATGTTAACTTCTAGGATCCAGTCCTGTAATTGTCTCTTTGCAGGTGTTCAGACTTTTAAAGGGTTTCGCTTCAATGGAAAAGGGGCTACATTTTAACCGAAATGTTCAATGACGAGTTTGATCGATGACTGTGTTGACACAAAGGAGCCGCGATTTTTGAAAGTTCATTTGACGCTGCCCTTTGAGTTAGTTCGTAAGGATTTTTATTTTCCACATGAGCTAACTGCGTGGTTGGAACTCTCGGGATTATTTGGAAGGAACTGTTGCCATGTATTTTTAAAAATCTTGACGAACGACCCAAGGGTATCTTTTGAGACAATAATCCCCGTCTATTAATCTGAACGCAGTTTGACGCAGAAATACTATACAGTCCCCCATTATAGCACTCAAAGGTTTATTTTCAAATTACTGTATTGAAAAAAAGTCGGCCATTTAATCAAACTTCTATGACCCTCGCGTCACACCAGCTAAATCGCCTGTGTGTGTTTTTCGCGTCAGTTTATTATGAGTTCAAAATACACAAAAAACAATTGTTACAAATCTCTAAGACCTCCGCGCACTTTAGTGGGTCACCTGCTGTCCTATTTTTCCTTGTTAATACATCAGTCTTTGAAAAGATTTCTAAAAAAGCCATTATATCCCAGTAGCTGTCAGTTTAAATAATTGATACTTTGTCGAATCGTGTACCACCAAAGATCTATCTTTATAGAAAATCACAAGGCCATGGAATCTAAAGTGTCCAATTATGGCAGGGGAAAGTACAGAGGACACCCCCTAAAACCAATTTCTCGCTCCAACAATAACTGCCCCGGCGTATCCGGCCAGTAGACTGCATTAGTTCTGCAACACGTCTCTTGTGTTGTTCTTTTTCAGGGGTATTTCGATACAGAAAACATTGAATAGTCGTTTTGAAGAGACGATGATTTCTAAAGGTCAATTTTGTTTGTGTGTTGGGGGTATTTAAATCGAAGTTTCTA